CTCCAATATCCACCAAAATGCATGATATTACTCATCTTTGATTCCAATGCTTTCCAAACCAAACTCCTTGCAAAATAACACAATTTAGTCCCAATCTCATGAAATTTGGAATGATCTATATGCAAAATGGCTTAGAGAAATGGGGGAAAATATAGACAAATAAACACTTATCAGTATCCCCACCCTGCACTTATATATACACATACTTGTGTTATTAGTATTTATTTATTATATAAGTTTATAATAAAAATGCATAATGAATTAAACTTCTTTATGTGCTAGTGCCTCGGGGATAATTCAATTGAATTATCATCTCATTGTCTTCGCTTTTTGTTTATGAAAATTGATTAGGAACAACACAAATAACATAATGAGGAAACACTTAATACAATTTATACTACCAACACAATTTTAGTTCTAATTAAGGACTAACTTCATTGGCTCTTATTAAATTTTAGAGTTATGTTTAAACTTATAAAAAAATCCATGTGATAATTAGAATTGTAGTATAAATTTGTTATTAGAGTTAAGTGTAATATTAATAATTAAAGTTGCGGGTTGGGTATTACCTGCACCCGCAAAATCCCCGCGGGGGCAGGTATGGGGTAGGAATTTTATTACCCGCGCGGGTGCGGGTGCGGAGAATGGATTGGGAATGCGGGTGCGGGGGCAGGGGATATATCCCCGCACCCACCTGCCCCATTGCCATTCCTAGCCGTGCACACTTGCCGCCACATCTCCACTCCATTCGTGCCGCCACACCACACGCCCACCCGCGTCGTCTCTTAGCCGGGCAATCTGGGACGACTTCGGCCACCTTGGGACGATCTAGGACGACTTTGACCACCTTGGGGTGCCTCACTTCCCCCGAGACCACCACGACCCTAGAGCTGTCATACCGCACACCAATTACTTGCACTTGTAACATATTTTACTTGTACTTCGATATTCAGTTATTTACAAAAACGTCATCACATCGTTTTTTACTGTGAGTTATTTTTTTTTTCTCTCTCTCTTATATATATATATATATATATATATATATATATATATATATATATAAAATTTATAATTTATAATTTAGAGTACCTTTTTTATGTTATTGACCCTATTAAATGTAGAGTAAAACCTACTGAAACACAAAGAGTCAATGTCCCACACTGTAGTTCAAACCTGAGACTTCTTATTTGAGGGGTCACAATTATATATTGAGATTCAAATTCGAAACCTCTCATTTAAGGGGTCACAATTATGCCGTGTGACCACAGTATACATAATTTAGAGTAACAAAACTCGCGTAAAATAACTTTACATGTTATATATACAATGTAATTATGTAATTCCCAAATGCAACTTCATCATTAACCTTAGATTCTTTGGGCTTGAAGTTCCCATCGTTATTGGATGCATGGTCAAACAAGCAGGCAGGCTTAATACAAGCGAAGAAAAAGGCCTGCAGTTATTAAATCATTTCGCATTAGTGCGTTATTTTATCGATTAATTTATTTGTAAAATTATATTTAATTATTTAATTTGACAGACTCAAATTGAGATGACTAATAATAATAAATAATATGGTTACTAAATTAACTATTAGACTTTTTCAAAATATATATATATATATATATATATTAAACCAACTTAGATGTTTTTGCCCCAGTCCAAAATCATACCATCACATCGAATATAGATTAAAATTTATTTGAACAAATACGAGTTTATTTCATAGAGATATGGTCAAATGCTTTCAAAACTATTTTAAAATATTAATTACTTGCACCATCAAGTAATTAATAAAGGAATAAGTTACTGATCTCAGATGTATTCTTCCCCTTTCTCTAATAAAGGAATATGAGTTTGGCCAGTAAGGATCAAGTCTAATACCACGTGATTAGGGCGATATGATTTATAAGAATTGTTGAGCGGAGGTTGGTAAAAAGTCAAGTCTAGTACTCAAGCTCTCGGAAATGTGATGGGAGTATAAAGAAATAAAGCTATACTTTCACTATGAGCTAATTAACATTCTCTCCCTTGACGAATATATCATTTAGGAGAAAACACACATCTCACATATACCCATGGGTCGAGACAACCATGCTCATCTAACATTTGGAAATATCCAACAACTATGCTCATCTAATATCTAAAAACACCTAACAAGTCCAAACAATGTTTGAACTTGTCACTAGTAAGTGTCTTTGTCAACATGTCTGCTACATTCTCACTTATATGAATTTTCTGAAACAAAATCTCACTAGAACTCTAGAAGCAACCGACTCTCTAACCTTATGAAAGTGTACATCAATATGCTTGGTTATTGCATGATATACTTGATTTAGCTAAAAAGATGGCACTTTGACTATCACAGTGCAATTGAACTCCACCTTACTCAATGCCTAATTCCTTAATCAAACTTGAAAGCTAAGCCACAAAACCTCTTTAGCTGCCTCAATCACGAGTCACGGCCATCTATTATGCCTTAGTTGTGGACAAAACTACAATCATGGTTGCAGTAGGCGCTAGTCGCTAGTTAGGCGGTAGAGTAGCGCCTAGCGCCTAAACAGCCTAGGCGGCTAACTATTAAAAAAAAAAAAAAAAAAAAAAAAAAAACAGTACACGTGTGTGTCGCTCTGTGTGTGTGTGTGTGTGTGTGTGTGTGTGTGTGTATATATATATATATATATATATATATATATATATATATAATGAAAAAAATTAACAAGGTCGAGTTGGCCAGGTTAACTCAACTATCTCGACCGAAATAATGAACGAGTTAACTCAGCCGAGTTAGGCGCTAGGCGGGCGCCTAGGGGGAAAATCGCCACGATCTAGGGGCGCTTATACCGATTTTTGCAACAGTGGCTACAATAGACTGAATTGATGATCTTTGAGGGATCTGAGCACTACACTATGCTTACTTCCCAATGGGGTCATCCATCCTGTAATTGTCGTAAGTCAAGCAGGTTTCATCGCTTTTTTTTTTTTTTTTTATGGAGCCAGAAGCCTACTCAAAAAGTTTCTTCCATTGTGTATTAAATTTCAGTACGTAACATTGTTGTCAAAGAAACTCAAAAAAAAAAAAAATGATGAAAGAAAATAATGAAAACCCTTCAATTGATTTCAGGATGCTTTTAACATTACATAGAGTACCATATATATACTATCACACTTCTTAAATTAATGCAAATAAAATAATAAAGTGACTAATTATTTTTCTAATTATCAATAACACATAAATACTAATTATTTTCCTAATTACATATATAAAATAATATAGATTTTATTGTTGTGAGATTAGTGCCAATCAATGGTGTATCACTATAAAGGAATAAAAAGAGATTTTTATTTAAATTAAAAGTAAAATTGGTACACATCTCATCGCGATGTGAAAAAAAAAAATGAAGCATTCATGTCTTTAGTCTAAACAATATAATAAATAGTCTACATCATAATTAAAAATTAAACCTAATTAAAATATACTGTACGGAATAATATACATAAATAAACCGATTGAAGGTTTTTTTGCACATAGCTTCAATGTTCAAAGGCTAGCTTGGTGATTGAATTTAAGACTTCACCAAACCATCAAGCTAGCTTTGACTTGTACGTCTTATTGATGTTGGTGAGATGTCGCATTTCTTATATGTCAAACAAAATTCATTTTCATGCCTCTTTTCAACCCTTCACCTACCGCAGAATATTATATTTTTATGCATTTCTATATCTAACAACTACACTCAGTATATTAATGAGTTATCCTAACTTAATAAAATTTGAATTATAAAGTTACCTATTAGGCTATTAAGCATATAAGCATATTAATGCCAAAAATTACTAATGTAACTAACTTGCATTGTAGTATATATTCTGATATTTACAAGAATTCTAAGTGCACAATTCGTATTTTTTATGAAAAACCAATAACTATTTCTATTGACAAATAATTGTTGCTATCAAAGACAAAAGTAGCCCAACCTCTCACCAAGGTAGTCTTGATGAATTTGACACAAGAAAATTATAGTTGTGATGCTATTTGATAAAGACATCATGTATTTTATTTATTTATTTAAATTGTTAATAATATTCAATTCATCAAAGACAATTTATTTTCATGTAATGTAACTAGTAAGTATCCGTGCATTATTAATTTAACAAATGAGCAAATTACACTTTTGGTCCTATGACTATAGGAGATGTGTTAATTTCACTCTTGACTTTTAAAACTAATAATTTAGTCCTTTAACTATGTTTTTTTTTTTTATAGCAAATTTGGTCCTTTTGGTCAAATCACCGGTGAATAGTCTCTTTACCATCTGAGTAGTTTCTTCTTCTTCGCGTTCGGCTAACAGTTGCCAAGAATCTCAATTATGTTCACATATACACAATACTAAGGCTCGAACACTAAACCTCCCACATAAAGGGCCTAACCGGATACTAGTGGATCACAAGCCACTTGATTTGTTGACGTTTATTTGATTTGTAATTAAAATTACATGAATTTATAAAATGATGTGAATAAAATTTCTTAATCACACTTTGGAGGAAAAAAAAATTTCTTAATCATTTTGCTTTATTAATATATATTAAATATTAATATATATATATATATATATATATATATATATATATATATATAGAGAGAGAGAGAGAGAGATAGAGATATAGAGATAAGATAGAGATTAGTAGTAACTTACTTAAACGGGTAAAACTTATAGGTTTAAAATTTGTTAATTAACGAATTTAATTACATTATTGGCGGAATTAAACACCAATTTGATACTTTTTGTTCTATATATATGCTTTATAGGTAATTAAGAAGCAAGAAGCAGGTAGATAAAACCATCTAAAAGGAAGGCAGAAGAAGAACCTAAAGTCATAACCCGTCCGCGTTCACAGCTGTTTTCGCATAGGAATCACAACTAAGTCATCATCCCATACATGCACCAAAATCTATGTATCTATTTAAAAAACAATATAATAGGCCAGCTCCCTCGGAGACAAGCTCCTCCTATAAATCAAAGCTAGCTTTCCGAAGAACATCTCATCTCCCAAGCTAACGTGGTCTCCATACCCTCTTTATTCTCTAGCTTTCAAAGAAATTAAAGAATGGGGATTGAGAAAGCCAAGGCACTCTTGCAGGATCTAATAGATAAGTCCGGTGGTTGCGCCGTTGTGGACGGCGGCTTCGCCACCCAGCTCGAACGTCACGGCGCCTCCATTAACGACCCTCTTTGGAGCGCTCTTTGCCTCATCAAAGATCCTCATCTCATCAAACGGGTATGCATTATCAAATCAGTTTTATATTACTATCATTGTTAGTTGTAATTATCTATACGTTAGTGGCAGCATATATATATATATATATTCCTAAACAAGTTTCTTTAATTTCTTCTTTTTTTGTTTTTTTATACGGAGTATTAATTAATTTCAAGTTGATGAATAAAATTTATATATTTGATTGAAGATAGTTTAGAAATTCTTTCAAACAAGTTTTTATATACGGAGTAATTGGTACAGTAATAATTAGTATATAATATAAATGTGTGTTTCCTAAATCAGGGCAAACTAAAAATTTCAATTGGAAAAAATTAAATGTGATTCAAGCAAGGTGTTGTATTTGTAATGTTTGATTAATTGCATCTAATGGAAAATTGATGGATTTTGAATATGTGGTGATCAGGTGCATTTGGAGTATTTGGAAGCTGGGGCAGATGTATTAGTGACTTCATCTTATCAGGTTTGAATGATTTCTTAAGGTTGACACATTGTCTGAACAACTTTAAGAATAACCTAGTTTAGTTTCATTGCATGTATGGTTATAGGCCACTCTTCCTGGATTCTTGTCTAGGGGGTTTTCGTTAGCAGAAGCCGAGTCACTATTAAAGAATAGTGTTCAACTGGCTATAGAAGCCCGGGATAAGTTTTGGGATTCTGTGAAAAGAAATGGGAAGCAGAGATATAACAGGGCTCTTGTTGCAGCCTCTATTGGAAGCTATGGAGCTTATCTTGCTGACGGTTCAGAGTACAGGTACTTGAGATCTCTCATCTCTCATCTATCACTTACATTATATTGTGTATTTAGTTGCATATATGCCTAATTAACATCATGCTTTCAGTGGGAAATATGGACCTGATGTAAGTCTTGACAAATTGAAGGATTTCCATCGTCGGAGACTGCAAGTCCTTGTGGGAGCAGGGCCAGATTTGTTAGCATTTGAGACCATCCCAAACAAACTAGAAGCCCAGGTACTCCATTTCTCATATGTAGTTAATTGGATAAAATTGTAGTTATACATCACTCCTAAGAAGTGAGATCAGTTTTGGTGCAACATTTTCAGCTCAACACTGCTGACATTAGTCATTTTTAAATAATGTATGTTGTTTCTGTTAATTTATTGTATCTTCCATTTAATATAGTACTATTGCACAAGGCAATTAGGTCCATTTTCACATCTTCTTTTTGTGGGGAGTTTGGGTTTCTTACAACAAGATAGTGCTATAGGAAGTTAATATTTTTATTTCTTAGCATAATTGTTTAATTATTCGGGGTAGTAATGCTTGCCTGCCTTCTAATTAGAATGTCCACATGCATGGCGACAGGCTTGTGTGGAGTTGCTGGAGGAAGAAAATGTTGAGATTCCATCTTGGATCTGTTTCAGCTGTGTGGATGGTGAGAATGCACCGTCTGGGGAAAGTTTTGAGGACTGTCTCAACATAATTAACAAGAGTCACAGAGTTGGTGCAGTCGGCTTAAACTGTGCCCCTCCTCAATTTGTTTTGAGTCTCATCCAAAAATTTAAGCAGGTATGTATATATAGTATATGTTAGTAGTTATTATTATTTCCACAATATGAATTGAAAGAGCTAGTCAAGAACAGAAACAGTTGCATTTATTTATTTATTTATTTATGCACTTATTGTGCAGATGACTGGGAAGGCAATAGTTGTTTATCCAAACAGTGGTGAGATATGGGACGGCATAGCAAAACAATGGCTGGTATAAGTCCCTCTCTATCATAATTTCAGATTCTCTTTTAATTTGGTTAAATATAAACTTAGCTTGTGTTGCCAAATCGAATTATATAAGTTGACATGTATGTATGTATGTATGTTGTATTGACAGCATTCAAAATGTTTTGATGATGACAAGTTTGAGTTATTTGCCCCTTTATGGCGAGAAGCAGGAGCTAATTTGATAGGTGGATGTTGTCGTACCACACCATCTACCATTCAAGCTATTTCAAGAGTCCTCAAACAAAGAATGATTCAATATTAACAACATGTTTTTTTTTTTTTTTTTTCTTCTTCTTAGCTTTCTCTTATAAGATTGCACCTTTTGTTGAGACAGAAAGTTACGTTGTAGCAACGAGTCTTGTATTACTTTAATTCATTAAAAGTGATGAGTAATTATCTCAATGCTAGTTTGAGGCAAGGAGCGGAGATGCACTGTACTACTTAATTAGCTAGCTTGTTCATTTTGCTTTTTGAGATCAGATCAGAGGCAACGTAACTTTCATCATTTCAAAAAGCTACGACTATTCATTATTCAACGTAACATCAAGTACGTGCATTGGACATAAAGGCAGAGTGATGTGCCATCTCAGTTTATTTATTTATTTTGAAAACAAAACAAATATATTAATTAAACTCCGAAAAGTAAAGCATTACAAATGAAATGAGGGTGGATTTACTTGGTCCTTTACGGGCCTCCAAAAAAAATAATTGAAAGAGAATATTGATTTAATATTTTTTTTTTTTTTTTGTATCAAACAATGTAATTTAAATTTTTATTTCTTTCATCCCAACCAAACATTGTATTTTTCCAGTTTCCACAAGAATATTATCAAGATTCTAGGATTTTAATCAACCTAAAGCTTCACGTATTTTCGGAGTAAAAACTATATTCCAAGCTACACATTTTGCATGAATTACGCTATGCTGTTAGTTCAGTCTTGTGAGACTTGTCAAAATTTTAACTCTCTTTCCTTTTGATAAGCACTATAGCTTGGGAAAAGATCCTTTAGATAGCAAATTCATCTTAACCAACTCTTATGGGCAAATAGAGTTTGTATAGTTGTTGAGTTTTGAATTTGGTCCTCAACTACCAATTTGGTCCTCAACTATCATTCTTACTCAATTAAGTCCTCAACTATGTAACTTTTACTCAATTAAATCCTCAACTATACAATTCTTACCCAATTTAGTCCTCAACTATACAATTCTTACCCAATTTAGTCATCTGTATTAATTTGACTGTTTGTTGACTGTCAAAAGTCGGGATAAAATTATAATTTTACAAGATTTCTCCTTCCTCTCCATTTAGCAGCGCCAAACCATGCAGCAATACACTCCGATCAGATTTCGATCGTCAAAAAATCGTTGGAAATCAAATTCATGGGCTACCCACTACTTCGATACTGACAGGTTTAGAACCCAACCGGAGCTTATTGCTACATGGTTTGGCGCTGCTAAATGAGGAGGAAGGAGAAAACTTGTAAAATTACAACTTTATTTCCACTTTTGACAGTCAACAAACAGTCAAATTGACAAAGGACTAAATTGGGTAAAAATTGTATAGTTAAGGACTTAATTGGGTAAGAATGATAGTCGATGACCAAATTGGTAATTACGACATAGTCGAGGGACTATTTTGGGTATTAACTCTTGAATATATGACAATTAGTTGAGTTGGAAGCTGAGACCTTACCTTCAAAACGAACAAACATGCTCTACAAATAAATTGAAACTAACACACTATATTATTGCGACGGTCATACATTAATTTAATTTATAATTAGAGATTTATAATAGTTTATAGTCTTTTTTTTTTTTTTTTTTTTGAAAACCAACCAAAAGATGATTGTACTAATGAATCAAAGCTGCAATCCAGTCAGGTAGGGCTGTTAACGAACCGAACATAAACGAACAGAGGTTGTTCGTGTTCGTTTGCTAAGAATTTTGGAGTGTTCGTGTTCGTTTGTTAAGATTTTTTAAAATCCTGTTCGTGTTCGTTTGTTAAGCGTTCATTAGTGTTTGTTAACGTTCGCGAACACGTTCACGAACGTGTTCGTTTACGTTAACGAACATGTTCACGAACGTGTTTGTTAACCTTCGCGAACACGTTCACGAACGTGTTCGTTAACGTTAACAAACACGTTCACAAACATGTACGTTAACGAGCATGTTCACGAACATGTGATTTACGTTCATGAACGCGTTCGTGAACCTTTAATAACCAAACACCTGCACATGTTCATGATCATAATTCTTTCGTGAACAACAAATAATCTACGTTCAAGAAATAATCAACGTTCATGATCACAATATAATCTATGTATATATATGTTTGTGAACATTATTAAACGAACACAAAACGAGCTTGTTCACGAACATTATTAAACGAACACAAACGAGTTTGTTCACGATCTCTTAGCAAACGAGCATACAACTGTTCAAGTTCTGTTCGTTTATCAACCGAGCTCTAAACTTTGTTTGTTAATGGTTCGTTTACCTTAACAAACGAACATAAACGAACACTTACCGAACACGAACACGAGTAGTTTGCCGAAAGCTCTGTTCGCTAACACCCCTACAGTCAGGAGAGATAGAATCCCAATACATAAACTGGTCATGTGAAAAAGCTAGAGAAGCTAGAGTGTGAGCATGTGAATTAACATGCCTAGTAACATAACTTAACGAGCAATAATTAAACAAAATCATTGAGGTCCTATATTGGTCCACTACGACCCCAACATAGGATAATATAGTCGTTGATTCCTGGGGTATAGCATTCCGAAGCTCCGTGCAGTCCGTGAGGAGATCCACCGTTGTTACATTTTTCTCTAGCAGCCAGGATAGGGTCTCCTTACAAGCTAGCAGGGCCTCCGCCATAAGTGGCGAAAAAAAAACCGGTAGCTTTCCATTTCGTGCCGCAAAAAAAGAACCGTCCAGCGAGAGGAGCACTATGCCGAAGGTGGCTTCCCCAGTGGCCTGCCGGAAACCCGCATCTATATAGCATCTTGGCCTGAAGTGGTTGCCATTCATCTGTGCCGCAACCGGCTCGGGCTGAGAGGGCGCTGATTGTCCTGTCGGAATGAGCTCAAGGCAACCGTCGCTCTCCTCCATGCGGCGGCGGGGTGTGGGAGGGCTCCATCCCATACCGCCGAGTTGCGGCTCCTCCATAAATGGTACAACACTGCTACCATGAGTCCACTCTGCTCCTCTGTCAATATTGTAAGTGCACCCGTTAGCCATGCGGGGAATGAGTTGGTAATAATATTTGTGATAGGTAGCTCGGAAACATTCCAAACAAGTCTAGAATATTCACAAGTAACTAATGCATGCATAACATTCTCATGAACCAAACCACACATTTGGCATGTAGGGTCCACCTCCACCCTCTTTATAATCAAATTAGTAGTTGTAGGGAGAATATCACAAATTGCCCTCCACATGAATGTCTTCCATTTTGGAGGTACCTTCATCTTCCACATAATAGTCCATTTATCAAAATCCCCTGGTGTATGTTCATAAATCCCCATAATATTTTTGTAGGCATTCTTTACCGTGTAAATCCCTTTGGGGTAGCCAAGCCAATACCATGAGTCCTCATATCCTGGGCTTATAGGGATTTTAACTATGCGACTCACACCCTCATCATTAAATAAATTAGCTAAAATATGGGGATCCCAAGTATTAGTCTGTTCATCAATTAACCCTGCTACCCTGGCGCCTCTCAGCTCCTCAGGCATGTCTGTTTGAACGAGGTGGTTGGGATCATCCGGTAATCATAGGTATCCCCAGATCAATGTTGTTTCCCCATTACCAATCCTTCTTCGTACTCCTGCAAAAACCATATCATGTTTATAGACTCTTTGTTCTACTAGTTGTGTTGCTAAATTTTATCCTTTTATAGTATAAAGAACTAAAGGAGATAAATTGTATGAATTACAATTACAAAATACATTGGAATAAATTCTAGAGTGTGAGGATCAAATTGTCCTCTCTAATAATGCTATATCTTTCTTTCCCTATGAAGTTCACAGTCATTTTGATCTTTATGCTACTTATTTGTTTTTAATTTTTATATATACCAAACATTATAATTAAAAATTCTCAATATTTCTATTCATGTCTACTAAATAATAGAATTTGAATTCTTATTTTATTTTCACCTTATTTTTTTTACACCGAATTATAATTCATTCCTCCATAATTTTCTCCTTGCAACCAAAAAGTATGTGAATGTTTATTATTTAGTCCGCATGGGTAGCTCAACTGGTTATAGAGGTGAAACTTTGGAAGAATGACAGGGATCGAGTCTCACCAGCGATAGTGAGGGGGCTCCTTGTGTGCAGTGAGCACCGGTCTAGCCTTAGCCTCTGTGGTTCATGTTCAGTTGAGTCACCACCCAAATGCTCTGTCGGGGAGAATGTTTATTATTTAATAGTATACTAAATAACGGTTTATTTACAAGGTAAATCATACGTGGTCTATGATATAGCGATTGATATGATGTACCGCCATTGTGGTCCAAATGATTATATTCAATGACGACTTGTTTAACGTTAGAGAATATCAATAGTTATGCTGTGCAACCGAATGTACCATGCGCATGGTGCATACGGTTCAAAACGACGTCGTTTTGATTAAAAACGCGCGTCCCACTTAAAAAAAAATTCAGGTTCGACTCTCAGCAATAGCATTATTGTGGATATATAATTATGAAATTGTGGTTATATAGTTATGAATTTATGGATATTTAGTTCATTCATTGTGGATATTTAGTTCAATCATATATTGTGGATATTTAGTTCATTCATTGTGGATTTTTACTTCATTCATTCATTCATTGTGGATTTTTACTTCATTCATTCACTGTGGATATATAGTTATGAAATTGTGGATATATAGTTATGAAATTGTGGTTATATAGTTATGAATTTCTGGATATTTAGTTCATTCATTGTGGATATTTAGTTCAATCATATATTGTGAATATTTAGTTCATTCATTGTGGATTTTTACTTCATTCATTCATTCATTGTGGATTTTTACTTCATTCATTCATTGTGGATTTTTACTTCATTCATTCATTGTGGATTTTTACTTCATTCATTCACTGTAGATATATAGTTACGAAATTGTGGATATATAGTTATGAAATTGTGGTTATATAGTTATGAATTTCTGGATATATAAAAATGCTATTGCCGGGAATCGAACCTGATTTCTTCTTTAAGTGGGACGCGCGTTTTTTTAACCAAAACGGCACCGTTTTGCAACCGTATGCACCTTGCAAGGTGCATTCGGTTGCACAGCATAATTTGCGAGAGAATATGGCAAATTATATTATGCACCGCGGTGCATAATCCATTATGCTCCGAGGGTATGAAACGACGCCGTTTACCATTAATTAGGGCGCGGTTCAGACGTCGCCGTTAATTGTTTCCGGACGGCTAATTTCTATCAGTCGTCGTTATTTTCCTATTTTGAAGTCGTATTTCTTTCCTTTTATTAGATTTGTCGTTCTTTCCTTTTTCCTTTCTTTTTCTTATGATTCTTCGATCTGTTCCTGATTCGATTCTTCGAATTGATATAGTTTTGATATAAGTCAAATTGTTGTATTGTTTTCTATGATCGGAAATATGAATAAAATAGTAGTTACAAACAGGATTGAGGAGATTGATTCGAATTCAATGATCGTTGATGAGAACAGTTCAGTATTTGCAGGTGTATATCATTATACTATGTATTACAGTCTTGTGTGATGTTGTTATTGTTTGAGTATAATTTGCCGATATGTTATGGTTTTTTTTTGTTGCAGGTAAAGATCATATTCCGGTCGCCGGTGGATGTATTTCGCCGATTGCGTTCGATGTTCCGTGTACAAATTTTGTCGACGATAATGAGTATATTCCAGGTATTAAATGCATTAATGGTCTTGTTCATGTTCTTATTTGAGTTTTATAGTATTCAGGACCATGTTACGCAGTTTCATGCTGATATCGCTGTAGTTTCGGTTATTGAACAATATAGTGTCGGTTTTAGTGACCTGAAGTGTCAGTTTATATTTTATTTGGTTGCAGATGATTTTGACAATTCGATTGCTGTTGATGGTACATCTGAACATGTTATTGTTGAAGAGTCAGCTATTCCAGGTTAAATGTTTAGTTCGATTCTTAACTGATTTTGAATTTGTTGTGTTTTTAAAACCATGGTAGTCAGTTTCATGTTTAATGGACAATAGTGTTAGTAGAATGCTAATGTAGTATATATAGTTTCAGTATAAATGTTAAAGGGATGTTTTAATAAAATCACAGATAATGAAGAATTGTTGGGACTGTCTGTTGGATCAATAGAAGATGCATTTGGTAAATACAATGATTATGCGTTTCGTATGGGGTTTAGTACTAGAAAGGGCAAACAGTATTATGTTACTGGCACTCGGATTTTGAAGACGAAAGTGTTTTGTTGTTCTAAGTCTGGTTTTAGAATAATACCAGACAATCCTAATAAGTGCTACTCAAAGATAGTTACTAGGTCTGGATGTAATGCAATGTGTCAATTTGATATAGATTCAAATGGGAAATGGGTTGTTACTAAACATGTGAAGGAGCATAACCATGAACTGTGTCCGGCTTCATCAAGTTATATGCTTAGATCGCATAGGAAAGTGTCTGAGAATCAGCTGACATGTTTAAAAAACATGAAGAGGAGTGGGGTCCCCTTATCGGATGGTATTCGCTTCTTAAAATGTCAGTCAGGAGGGTCACCGTTTGTTGGATTTACTCCTAGGGATGCGTATAACATGATATATTCAGATTCGGCAAAGCATCTAGATGGCACTGATTCTAATAGCTTGATTGAGATATTTAGAAGGAGACAAATGGATGAATCTGATTTCTATTTTGAATTTGAACTTGATGAGGATGCAAGGCTGTGTAACTTTTTCTGGAGGGATGGTCAAATGAAGGCTGATTATGATTTGTTTGGTGATTTAGTTGTACACGATACAACATACCGTACAAATATATATGATATGATATGTGCCCCTTTTGTAGGAATGAATCATCATTGCATGAATGTGATGTTTGGTTGTGGGTTTTTACTCAATGAGAGGATAGAGTCGTTTGTTTGGTTGTTCAAAGTATTTGTACGATCAATCGGTGGTAAGCATCCTCAAACAATAATGACTGATCAGTGTGCTGCCATGGCTACTGGAATCGCACAAGTATTTTCGAATTCAAATCATAGGCTTTGTATATGGCACATTGGGGAGAATTCGAAAAAGCACATAAAAAGTCTGAGAAATAAAAAAGGTTTCTTAGAGCTTTTCAATTTTCTTTTGAAGTACACTGACACCGAAGCTGAATTTGAGTTTTATTGGACCAGGTATTTTTACTGATTTTTTCAGAATGATATTATGTAGTGTTTTATATTCTGGTGAATTTGTGTTCTGTATGTTGATTGATAGTACCTTAGATATTAAATGATATTATAGGTTGTATGAAATGATACTGCTTATTTGATAAAATGATACTGTGTCAGTGATTAACAGTTGATGATTGTATTTGTTTGTAGAGCTCAGCTGGATCTATTCGGCATTCCCTACACCCCCTCTACTTAGAAATATGATCATCAACTTAGAAATATACAGTATAGGTTTAAATTCATGTTCTTTTTTTTTCTTTATATTTTTTTTCAGGATGATGACAGAATATGGGTGCCATAAAAATGTTTGGTTAAATAAGCTATATTCTATTAGGGAGAAATGGTGTCCTGCATTTAGTAAAGAATATTTCTCTGGTGGTATTTTATCATCTCAAAGGAGCGAGTCTACGAATCATTCAATATCTAGAAGATTATCAAAAACAGCTGCGTTGTGTGATTTTTATAATTCATTTGTTAGTGTAGTTTCTGAGTGGAGGAGTAGGGAAAACGGTGAAAATGTGCGTTGTTCACAAGGGTTGGCACCTATGGTGATGAATCATGTGAAGCTCCTTTCACATGCTAGGGACATATACACTATTGAGATATATTATCTTTTTGAGGAACAGTTTTTGAAAGGGACTTCATGCCATCAAGAATCTGTTGGGGGAAGTGGTAATGAGATAAAGTATCATGTGTGGCGTCCTGACGTTGATCTCATTCGTCATGAAGTGTGTTTCAAAGTGAATGATTTGGATATATCTTGTAGCTGTATGTTGTTTTCAGAGATGGGTATTTTATGCTCACATTCTTTACGCATTTTTAATGTCCACTGTGTTGCAGCAATACCAGATAAGTACATTATCAAAAGATGGACCAAAAAGGGTATTGAAGATAGAATAATAAGCAGTGATAGTTCCTTGAATATTCTTAGCATTGCGTCATTTGTTTGGGGTATTCAAATGGGTAGGAAGTTTCAGCAGTTAGTTTTATCCAGCCAAGCAAATTGCAAGGCTCGGGAAGTGTGTGAAAATGCTTTTGAGGATGCTAGGAGGAAGGTTGAAGGTGATATTGGTCCTATTGTCATTGAAGATGGTGAAGAACAGATAGCTGGTGTAATTCAAAATCCAGCACGTAATAGGGCGAAAGGTGAACGCAATAGGAGGCATATTAGCACAATTGAAAAGAAGTATAACCAAGTGAGAGGGCGGAAGTTGGGTGTCAAGATTGCTGAAATGAGTACAAAGGCTGCAGTGCAGGCATCTGTTGAAGGAGTTGTTGCTAATATTGTTGGCAGTGGTTATTTTGTCCATCCCTCTAG